AATTACATTGCCATTATATAAAATAAAGAAAATAACTAGAAGTAAATTATTTCCTCGACGGAAGGGAGGGTCATATGAAATAAAATGAGTTTGCTCGTGCGGCGTAAAGCCATGTGTACACATATATTTGTAAGGATCTTGAGCAACTATTTGAAATAAGATTTTTTCATGCTGACAATTCAGTCAATCGCATGATTTTGTTATCGGCAAGACATCTAATCAGATATTTTCGCTATCCAGATCTCGAACAATTCTTTCTTTGTGGCAGAGATTTCAGCCTAAGACGTGTTTTCCATTTCTAGTTTTCGTTCAATTAGTTTTTTCAGGTTGACAGTTATGCCAATCACATGTGGGTGTGAGTATGTAGTGTTCGCGTAGATGAGGGCGTACGATGGGCTGGTTGATTTCAATCTGGATTTTGAATAAAGAAAAAACACCTGACTTCAAAAAGAAATGGAGCCCTAGGCAGTCTTGAGAATTATTCATATGAATATTTCTAAAGCTCTTCTTAGATTTCCATTTCTCTTTGAAATTGAGTGTCTTTTTTTTTGTTCTAAATTCAGATTGAAATCCCATAGCCTGTTGTATGTGGAATATTTACATGGTTTGTCATTTACAGTTGCTAAACGGAAAAATAACATTATTTCTTTCTGTTTGTATCTTTTGATTTGTATATGATCTATGCTACAATGTTAGTATTATGCTAAAAATAAAGAATGTCTTGTTGGTTGGAATTTTCGATATCTTTCCTTTCGGTTTTTCTATAGTACACCGATATTTTCCTTTAAAAATAATATTTCTTATGTTTATATACCTTTTGTTTTTTGTATCAAAATTAACATTCAATCAAATATAAAATTTATCTAGTGAAAAATTGAAATTTTCATTTCATCCAATATAATCTCAGTCAAAATTAAAAATTCAATTTTGACTAGACGAAATTGAAATTTTTTTTGTTTTGTGATAAACAGAAAAGGGTCAAAATCTCGATAACAAAAGGTGTGCATGTTGGTATGAGTCTGGACTAGAGGTGCAATAAATCTAGAATAGATTTGGGACCCCAAGAATCTTAGGAGTTGATTTGTATTTGTATTTGAAGTTCAAGGTTGAATTTAGAGCATAGATTTACTTTTTAACTAAATCCACATAAATAGTTTTTGATTGTGTCATACCTCTATTAAATTAGATACTTGTTCTTGAATCAGGTCGGCTTGCAAGACTGTTATTGAAGCACAACGACATCGAAAATATATTAATATTAACTGTGTAAACTGCAAGTTGTAGTTTTTGAATGAGTGATGAATTTAAGTAGGCGATCACACCTCTCTTCCAAATATTTTAACAACTTTTTCTAGCTGGAACAAATAAATAACGAGTTTACATTAGTTCGGGTGGACTTCAAAAAACGTTTTATTTTACCATAATTTCTCTTCTCTTACTTGTTAATAACTTCTTAGATCCACTACTACACTTAAATCCATCAATAAAACAAAGTAAAAGCTTCTTAAAAAAAGGTTCAATTTCAATACTAAGTCATCGAATTAGGATTTTTTCGTTTCAAAGAGCAACGTCCGAAAAAAAAAAAGTTTCAACTACGAAATAAATTCGAAAATATCTGTTCCATCAATATATTCATTCATTTCCAATGTTTCTTTTTCACAATTTGAATAAAACGTAACCATGCGGTTAGCTTGTCCCAGATTCTATTCAAGAATATAACACAAACATGCTTGTTCTATATTATCAATTTGATTAACTTACATCTTAAAAAAATATTCTGGTTTGACAAAATTTATAAAAAGTGAAAACCTAAGTTCGACAAATTTTTCCATGATCTATTGAATTATGTATTTAATTTATAACTCATTGTCATAATATTCATAACATTAACTTTGTATAGTATGATATAGTGTTAGATTGATGAAATATATATTCATAAAGAATAATTACACCAATGTCTTCTATATCCTTCATCCCGGAAAATAAGATGTAAGTTAATGTGATTTATTATTCCAAAGAAGAAAAGTTTAATAATTTTTCTATTAATTTTGAAATGTTGTTTTATATCATCCGTATTATATGACTAAGCTCATATGTTTTCGACGGTTGAAATGATTGCTTTCAGAATCTATCAATATTGTATTAGTTTATTTTGTTAATTATGTTTTTTCCCAAAAGATACTCGAATATCCCTAACAATAAATCAAAGCCGTTATATTTTGCCTTTCTTTTTTATTATAGCGTCCTCTATTTTTTTTCTTTTGATTGATGAAACAGTTTTATGACGTTTTTTTCCTACAAGCGAAATTTATTTTAAAAAAAAAAGAATATGATTCATGATATTTTTATAGTTATAAAAACTTCATTGTATACAATATTCTGTACTTTCTCTCAGTTACTAAACAACAAAGAAAAATAATTTTGATTTCAATACACAAGAGGAAAAGAAAAAGAATCTAATTTATAAGGTTATTCTTCGTCAGAAAAAAAAACTAGAATTTTTTTTTCTTACTCGCGTTACCGTAGAACAATAAAAGAAAAAAAAACACAGAACGACAAAGACTATTTTCTCATCATTTTTTCCCTAAATATATAAATCATCTATTGAAAGAAAAAAACACACACACATACAAATAGTATCGAATAAAATGTTCTGGGTTCTTTATATGATGTTTTCTATATTTCGATCCCATCGAAATCAATTTTATTGGCGTAATGGAAAATTACATTTTACAAAACAAAGTCTACGCCAACAACAACAACAACATCAAATACCATTAACAGCTTTACAAGAAGAACGGTTATTTAGACAAAATATTCGACAATGGTTTATATTTTATAGTGTTTTAACTTGTATTATAATTAGTATTCTTATTCATCGATTATATTCTCGTCAAAAATCTTCTGTATAATTAATTTTCATAATTATTCTTTATTTAATTAAATAAAAACAAGAATCTATAGATATGAAAAATCAACAGCATGTTTTTCTTATCTAACAAATATTATTTCTTCTTTGCTTTTTCTCTAATAAAAAAATCTAATTTAATCCCTATGGGAATTAAACTAGGCCCGGTACTAATGCTCATTTAAAAAAAATAAGATGGGTCGATATTTTTTTGAATAAATATTGATAGAAACAAGATAGAAGGCTACAGTTTTCACCATTGAAAAGTGGAGATGAGGTCGCATCGAATCATATGTTATAGTCTTTCCTAAGATATTTTCTGAAATTTTTCTAATCAATTTTCTAAAAAAAAGTGCCGGAAAAATGGTTTCTTATAGAGTAAGAAAAAAGCAAAAAGGTGGCTTTTTTGACAGTAATCGCTTGAAATAATCGGTTGAGAGTTTTGAATAGAATATCTATAATCGAATGTGCAGCTGATAATTGAAAATTCACTCTAATTACCTCACAGATAACATTAACTTTCAAAAAACAGTCGATTGAAAACCTTCGAAAGGATCAAGTCAGAAAAAAAAACTATAATATACAATTCGATGCGTCTTCATCTCATCTTTGTAAAGGTGGAGATCACAGCTCTCTGCCTTATTTCTATGAAAGGTTATTCCAAAAAATACCGACCCGCCTTTTTTTTATTGCAAATGTACATTAGAAAAGCAAATATTCCAATGTCCAAATAAGAATTGGTAATTTAACTTCTGTGTTAATTTCCATTATCAACGAAATAATGAATCATCAATATTAACATGTCAATTATGTCTTGTATCCCACTTTATTGACCAATATTAATGCTTAAGTGACCTATAAATGTGTAAAATTAAATGTACATAAATGGTCTAATCTATAGCATAATATTTTTAATTATTGGAAAATGCAGGAGTATGACGCTCTTTCATACTTCCGAACTTTGTTTACATTGAATTTCAAAGAATATAAAGCAAACTCGATTGGAAATAATTAGTTTAACTTTAGATATATTGGACGAGTCAAAATGATTGCAATATCGAAAATTTTGCCAATATTTCAGCAGAATTCAATCATAAACTCTTGAAATTTGTTTTTTTAAAAGATGCACCATTGGTTTCTCTACAAAACTAGAAGTAACGAATCTTACTAATTTGCTCTAATAATTTATGATAAGACTCAGAGTGAAACGTTTTATGATGCTGTATTGTCTCACTAATTTTTACTATGTTGTTTCTGATTCTTTTTTTTTTGGAAGTTTTATGCAGTCAATTAAAAGATTACTTTATTTTTTATTTCAATTGAATTTCAAATGCTCTTTTACAATTATTTCTACGTATTATGATCACAATTTACTTTCATCGAATAGCTTTTCGGGAATATTCATCATTTTATTCCAGCTGAAGCATTTAGTTTTATATGTTATTTGAGGTTCAAATAGAAAGACAATATCAATTTCTAAAAATGCTTCAAAAATGAACTCATTCTTGTTATATATAAGACTCCCGAAATGCTTTTTCTTCGAACAGAAATAACTAAGAGAAAAAAACACAGCAGTGAATTATCTTTCAAAAACTAAAGATAAATAGAAATTTGTAGAGAATTTAACAGTACATCTTTCAAGAAAGATAGAATTGATCGGTACTGAAATATTTACAAAAATGTCTTATATTGCATTTATTTTCACTTATTACATAACTTCTGTTTTATGTAAATAACTAAATAATTTTTTAATTCAATTATATCAATTGATTTTTCTCGATATATAATTACATGACGATGAACAATCATCTAATTTCAATAATGTATTTATTTTTTTGATCGATCATTAAAAGAATAAAATGAAACTGATTTACTTAAACTATACAATCAAAATTAGTTGCTAAAATAACAAAAACTTGAATTTTAATTTGTATTTTACGACTGAATGAGACAAAAATAAATTTATATATTTGTCCATAAGACAAAAAAAGAAGAATAGAAAAACGAAATGAAAAACAAAAAAACACAAACTACTAATACAAAGCTGGGTTGATTTTTATTTTTAAATAAGATTATAAATATATATTCTCAATTAATATCCAAGTTGTTGAAGAACACTACGAAGAAAATCTTGTTGTGTTGCATAACCACCAATATCACGTGTTTTTGTACGTTGTTGTTTAATAACAGTAGCAATAGCATTTTCAATTTTTTGAGCCATTGCATCTAAATAATAAGATAATGAAAGAATATATAAAATAAAATAAATTTTTTGAATATATTTACCAAGATGAAGATATTGAAGTAAATTAACTCCACATAATAACATTGCAGTTGGATTAGCAATATTTCGACCAGCACCAGTTAAGAATGGATGTCGTGCACCCTAGAATTTAAATTTATTATTTATTATAATTCATATAATATATTTTCAATACGAAATTATACAATATTTATAATAATGATAGTATTTTTGAAATAGATAGAATAAAGAAGTGAGAATAGAAAATATTTGAATAATATCAAATGATTAAGTTTGTTTTGTTTTTAGGTCAATAATTCCGATTGCCGATGAGAACTCGTAGAAAGAAGACAAACTTCGAAAGATGATAAAAACTTAGAATAAGGAATATGATGATCGTGTTCAATGATCAACTCTCTTTGGTTATAGTCGTTTTTGATCGGAACCAGGAAAGTCTAATCATTGTATTCCTACTTTCAACTTTCTACCATTTTCCAGGATTTCTCGGCTAGAACTGGTCATACATCATACCTTTGAGTATATCTATAGATGAGATCATCATTATTTTAGTCCTAGTTTCCATACGATAACTACTCATCGTTCGCGATTATTAACTATATAAAAGATATATATATGTAAGAAATTAATTCATAAATATGGATTTAGTTTTATTTTCAATAAAAATTAGATAATTACATGATGATATTTTAGAAAACACGTTTATTCATTAGTATTTCAATCGTTGAGTCTATCCCTTTTCACGTCTTAAACTAATTGTTCATCGATAGAAACTAACTTTTCTTGCTAACATAAAGAAAATAATGTACTTTCACGTTCCTCTGCAGTTGCTCTAACTGTAACATATAGAGAAAAAAGACTTTTTTATCTTTCCTGCTAAATACTTCTAATTTACAAAATAGATAAAACTTAGATTATCTGTCATAAATTATATGTTTCTTTTGATTAACATACCGGTTCAAAGATTGCAACATCAGTCGAATAAGATTCTCCAGGAACCATTCCTGCTCCTCCAACTAAGCCAACAGCTAAATTAGATACAATATTTCCATAAAGATTTGGTGCAACAAGTACATCAAATTGTTGTGGTTTAGAAACTAATTGCATGCATGTATTATCAACAATCATTGTTTCAAGTTTAATATTTGGATATAATGCTGCTACTTCACGACATGATTCAAGAAAAAGACCATCACCAAGTTTCCTATATTTTATAGAAAAAAAAAACGATGAAGAAGAAGAAGAAGAAATTTTCAAATAGGAAAAAAAAATAATAACAAAGAAACTAAACATTATATTTGCTTTGTGTACAGCAGTAACTTTTTTCCTATTAAATTTTGTTGCAAAATCAAATGCAAATTTAGCAATACGTCTTGAATTTTCATAAGTTGTAATTTTTAATGATTCAACAACACCATGAACAGACTAAACAAAAAAACGAAATATTAATTACAAAACTGTTTTTTTTCAATTTACTTCATGTTCAAGTGCACTATATTCTCCTTCAGTTTGTTCACGTATAACAATAAAATCAATATTTTGATGACGAAGTTTAAGTCCAGGTACAGTTTTTATTCGAACAACATTAGCATAAAGATCTAATGCACGTCTACATTAAAAACAAAATAATTTTTTTTTCCTCTTCAGAATATTTTATTTTCATACCGTATCTTCATATTTAATGACATTAAATCTCCACCTTCACTAATAGCTGGTGTCTAAATATTTAATTATATATTTATATAAGTAAACAAATAATATCAATAAATTACAACATACTGTTAATATGCCTTTCATTCCAACACGATTACGTTTAAATGAAGCAACTATATCAGCAAGTGATGATGATCGACCAGGCATTAATTCACTACAAAATTAATTCAATAATAAGAGTAAAACAAAAAAAAAACAAAAACATCGAAATCAAACCTTGCAAGTAATTCATCAAATTCAATTGGTGCACCAACTGCATTGAATACTTCACGTACACATAACATTAATTCTGGTCCAACACCATCACCTGGTACAACAGTAACATGATATTTATGAGATTCAGTGATCTTATCTGCAGTAGTCTTAAAATATAAATCATCAAATTTGACTAGATACAAAAAAAAAAAAAAAAGATTTTAATTTAATAATAACTTACAGTTGCTGCTGAAACTTTTCTTATTTGCTAGAAAAAAAAAATAAATAATTAATATATATATATATATATTCGAAATAAATAAAAGAGGAATGACATGTTCCAATCAAGAAAACTTTTTGTTTTTTTTTTGGCGAAACTAAACATTTTTTCATATGCCTTTTCTAGCAAAACAAATCTTTACATCCTTCCAAAAACTCCCGACGTCTCTACCTGTCAATGTTGGCTGTTACGAAGCAGTTCTGAAATTAAACTTACATTAGTATTTTGACGCAATATTGTACCAACAATATTCGATGGAAAACGTCGGAATAAAATAGACATTATTAGTATTTCAAATAAATCTGGTCAGAAAAACAGCTCTTATTTATCATTATGATCGATAGAGAACCAAAAATTTGTTTAATTTTCCTATTGGTTAAAATAAAAAACGAATAACAAACAGAATAAATACATGGTTAAGATGGCTGATCATGACTGTTATCGTTATTTGTTGTTATATCGACAAAAAAAGAGCCATTTTTTGTAAGTTTGAATTCAAAAAAAAACAACTTTCTTTATTTTTCTTATTTAGAATCGATATAAAATATGATCATTACATGATTTCATTGAAAACTTTCTTTCTTTTCCCAATCTTTTCGTACACAATGTAATGGTTGAATCAGCTTTTATTTAATGAATTCAAAAGACAAGATAGGTCAAGAAATCGATATTATTTTAAATCTAAATCTATTCATAATCAACAAAAATACAAAATATTCTCGAAAATAAATATTATGAATCATTTATGTGTATAAGATAGATTACACTGTACATATATAATAACTTGTTTTCGTATTGCATAAATTGAGTAACAATATCAAATCAGATAGAATTTTTTAGTTTTTTCTTTTTCTAATATTCA